GGCCGCGTGTCCCCTGGCTCAGAGCTTCTGGAGGGCAGAGCCGGTGCCTCAGCACGAGAGGTGTGCCACAGGCAGAAATGGACCTCAAGAGTGGCCACGTCATGATGTGGAACTGCCTCCTGGGGACCCCCAGTGCAGACCTTTGTTGTCCGGGATGTTTGTTTTATTTTGTGGGGCTGAGGATGGAACCCAGAGCCTCATGCATGCTAGGAAGGCACTCAGCCACTGAGCCACACCCCAGTCCTGTTTAGTTTTTTTTTTTTTTCCTTTTGAGATAGAGTCTCACTAAGTTGCTGAGGCTGGCCTTGAACTTGAAATCCTCCTGCTTCAGCCTCCTGAGTACCTGCGGTTACAGATGCACTCCACCACGCCCAGCTCCAGATCTTTAAAGAGCCACACAAATGCACACCTAAGACAAACACATGCACACACAAATAACACACACACCAAAGTGTACAAAAGTAGGCCTTGGAGATGATAGACGGTCATGTACTTGAGCAAACAGAAAACTTCCCTGAAATCGTGCATGTGGTGCGACTGTCACTCACGACTGCACACTTGTGTTCTGTGTCCATCTGTATATGGCGTTGTATATCCATACCTGCTAGACTAGGTGACACACAGCTGTGGACGGAGGACACATTCCTCACATGCAGGACCGAGGTGACTAGTTTTCACGTAATCCTATGCACGTCTCATGTCCGCGCTGTGTGTGGTCTTCCTGCCTTGAAGGTGGTTCTCACGTCACTCTCCCATGAGGACTTCCCTGCCCACTACTGAAGCCAGACAGGCAGTCAGTGTAGTGAGGTAAATAGGGTCAAATTGAGAAAACAGAGGCCAGTTTGAGTCTGGGAAGTTGGAAATCACCTCTGGGAGGCTGGACCATTTATGTCTCCGAAACCCTTTGCTATTCCGCCTGCCACTAAGGTAGTTAGTTAAGCATCTCGGAGCAGAGCGCTGCTGATCTATGCCCCCTGGGCTGCCCACCTGCTCCCCCAGGCCATCCCACACCTCCCCCAGTCACGGTGCAGGCTGAGGGGAAACGGACGAGGTAACAGACAAGAATCAGGAGAAGAGGGGGAACTGGGACGTGCCAAAGGGACAGGACTTCCTCACCCCACGGACTCCGCCTTGGGTCCTCGTCTTCCACTGGGAGAAGTCCGTTCACGATCTCTCCGAGCGTCTCACTTTCTACTCGACGCTTGCCTGGGTGAGCTCCTCTGGTGTTAAACTTCAACACTGGAGGAAGCAGGACTCGTCATGGTCACCGGCAACCGGCGGTCTCAGTGTAAGTAACACCGGTGGCCCTCTCTGGCCCACTCACCTGTTTTGTTCCAAGACCGTCCACGTCACCCCCCCACCCCAACCACGGAGCTGATCACCTGCCCCATTTGCTCCCGGCTGGATCCCAGGACAGCGTGTGCACCGGGCGGCACACTGGGTTCTGGTGGTGAGCAGCTCTCTGCCCTCCACAGGCTCTGGGGGTGCTCCCTCACCCCTCTGCACTGTCCGGAGCTGGCATCTGCCCTCGTGAGCAACCAGACGCTGGAGACTCTGGACCTGGGCCAGAACGCCTTGGGACTGAGCGGAGTGACCGTGCTCCTGGAGGCCCTGAGGGCCAGCAGCGGGCCCCTGAGGACGCTCAGGTATGGTCTTCCTGCTCCACACGCGGGCTTCCCTCGAAGAGATCAGTGCTGCCCAGGAAGGGGAGGCGGGGGTGACACCCCTTTCCCAGCAGCCCCTCGCCTGGGGGATTCCGTCCACTGCCCCCTTCTCCTAAGCGCTTCTCTTGGATTCGAGTGTTGTGCAGTGTTGTCCAGCACACGCGGTACTGGGCACGCGGATGCTCAGACCCCCTGGGGCACAGGCTGGAGCTTGCCTGTGGGTGCGCAGGACTGGCGTGGGCGCACCGCACACCCAGCCAGGACTCGTGGTTCCTGCTTTTGCCGTCTCCGGGGTCCCAGGGTTGCCTGGGTCCCCGCTGAGCGAAGCTGGTTCTCCAGGGGTTTCCCTGACGGGGAAACATCTGCAGCCCTCCAGTACCTTGACCCGTCTTTGGCTTCCTCGGGCCTTTCCCCAAAGCCCTCGCAGACGGCTCCTCCCTTCCAGCAGAGCAGACCCACGTTTCCTGCTCTCGGGCCACAGGTGTGCACACTGTATCCAGAGGCCCAGGGAGAGGAGAGCGGGCCGTCCCCACCTGCCAGGTGGAGCAAGGCAGAGGAGGAGGGCTTTATTTAAGATACAGGCAGGACAGGATCTGGCCGGGAGCTGGCCCACCCTGCTCTGGTCCTCTGTGCACCGTCCCCACCTCCACTGCCATCTCTTTTCGGGGAGGATTGGGGTAGGGACCAGGAAGCGGTGTTCCTATTTCTCACCCCTTGTAAAAGTTGTGGAACCTGTGACATCCCCGGTGGCCAGCCCACTGTCATTCGCTCCAGGAATGCAACTCCTGCTTCCACAGGAATGTCCAAGCTGGCCTCATTCCGGGGCTGTGAGTTGTAGACATGGCGACCACTCAACCTGGTTTGCAGTGCAGGGGTGTGTCCGGGGCTGGAGCAAGCCATAATGCCACCAAGAAGTATGGTGGGACCTCGAGCCCTGTGGCCTCCCGCCTCATGTTGTGGTCTGGACCTATTTCTGTCCCCTGTTATCCCTCAGCGACACCCTCCGCCATCCCACCTCACATGAGCGGGGCTGGACATGGCGGCCACGTGGATCCAAGTTGATGTTTCACCCTGGGGTTCGCTTTGGCATTCTTGGTTCTATGAGCGTCCCCCCACCACTGGGACTCGGGACCAGGGCCCTTGTCCACGAGCCACACCCCCTGCCCTGTTCATTTCCTATTTTGAGACAAGTTCTCACTAAGTTGCTTAGGGCCTGGCTAAGTTGCCCAGGCTGGCCTTGAACTTGTGATTCTCCTGCTTCCGCCTCCCCAGCTGCTGGGATTAGAAGCATGCCCCAGCGTGTCCGGCTCTACTGAATGTTTGACTATCCAATATCTTCTTGGCTTTAGAAAAAATGTATTCATTCACTCAAATATTTTGTATTTTAGTAGCACGTGGGTATGGGGCACAGTATGATAACTGGATATATGTATAGAGTGTGTGCTGATCACATCAGGGTCTTTAATAATTCTATCTCCTTGAACATTTAAAAATGATTTTAATTGACCTGTAATAATTGCATGTATTTATGGGGTACAGTGATCATATTTTTTGAGGTGCTGGGGATCAGACCCAGAGGTGCTCTACCACTGAGCTGCACCCCAGCCCTTTGTCTTTTATTTTGAAGCGGGGTCTTCCCAAGTTTCCCCGGTTGGCCGTGTGAGTAGCTGGGATCGCAGGTGCGCCCGCCCTGGCTGGCATGACGCTGCACTACACGTATACAGTGAGTGCTGACCCAGTGGGCACGGTTCACGTTTCCGTCTCCTTATTACCTTGTGGAGCCTTTGGGCTCCTCTTCTAGTGACTCAGGATGTACACTAGCCGCTGTGAACCACGGTGCCCTCCCTGTGCCGTGGAACCCCAGGGCTGTGCCTTCTGTTTGGTGCTGTTCAGTCTCCTCTGTCCTCCTGCACCTTCCCACCCTCTGGGAATCTCTACTCTGCATCCAGATGGACTTCCAGCCTCTGCGCTGGGGAGACGCGTGGACTTGTCTGTCTTAGCCATCTTTCTTGGGAGGTCATCTGGCTGGGGTGAGCGCCTGTCTCTCCAGTGGGCAGCACCTGGGCTGCTCCCACCTGGCTGGACAGGAAGGTCAGTGGGAGGGGCTGCCTGAGGACAGGTGTGCCAGCAGAGGGGACGGGAGCGAGGCTCTGTGTGGTGATTACAGAAACGACTGCGGCTGGGGGAGCCCGTGGCTGGGTTCTTGAGGTCTTTGCAGGACGTGTGTCTGCACTTGGACGTTTCTCAGGATCACTATTTTGTGGATCCAAAAATGTCTCCCGCCGCAAATGTCCTGAAACCTTCCTGGGCACTTGGGCTGTTTGCAGTGAATTTGGGGACAACAGAACTAGCTTTTCTGTTAGTGCCGATGTCCTCTGGTCCCCCAGGTTGAAGATGGACAAGTGGAACGCGAAGGTCCAGGAGGTGCTGAGGGAGGTGAAGGAGAGCAACCCTGGCCTGACCCTGGACAGTGCCGTGGGGACGAAGGCTCCCTCCTGCTGCCAGTTCTTTTTCTCGACACCCTGAGTCTCTCTCCCTCCTGGCTGTGTGTCCCAGGGGGGTCTGGTCTTGCTCTCATGGTGGAGGTCAAGGGGCCAGGTGGTGGTGGTCCCTGGGCTGGGGGTCAAACGTAGGCTTGAGCATCGATTTCTTTCTTCACAGTGAGTTCTGATCACGGGCACCTCGGGGGGTAATAAAGGGAAGGTCCTGAGCTTGGAGCTGCCTTTGTCCATGTGCTTGGGGGGGGGGGGGTCACAGGGGCGTGGGTGGCGTATTAGCTGGGAAAAGGGTGGCCTGGGAGTGTGCTCAGGACAGTCCATTCCTCTGTCCTTGGCCTGATTCAGTCGCTGCCTGGTGACTACAGGATTGGTGTATGTATGTATTGTTTTGGTTGTAGATGGACACAATACCTTTCTTTTTGTGTGGTGCTGAGGATCGAACCCAGTGCCCCACGTGTGCCAGGCAAGCGCTCCACCCCTGAGCGGCAGCCACAGGGTCAGTATTGTTTTTATATCCTAACTTGGGATTTGGCAGATTTTTTCCCCAAAGGGCCAGATAGTCACTTTTAGGCACTGAAGGCCACGTAGACCCCGCCACGCTGCTCAGCCCTGCGCTCAGAGCAGGGAAGTGGCCACATGGGTCAACAGGTGGGCAGGACTCTGTGCCAACAGGGGCTTGGCCCTGGGCCACAGTGCTCCAAACCCCCCGTGCACTTGGGTGACATATCTACATATCGTGCAGTGCTGGGGATCACACCCAGGGTCTCGTGTGCGGGGCGAACCTCTACCACTGAGCTGCATCCCTAGCCCTTTAAATATATTTTAGTGAAACTTGGCAGAGATTTCCCCAAAGAGATTTATTTATTTCATAAGCAAAGGAGGACCAGCACAGAGCCCCTTTGAGGCGGGTGTCCTTGGAGTGTGAACTGATGCCCTCTGGACCGTGGGCAGTGCTGAGAGAACTTGCTGTTTGTCACCTGAGGAGGAGCTGCTGGCGTCTTGCAAAGATCAGAAAGGCATGCCCACCCCCAGCCCAGAGAGGTCCTGCCCTGCTGTCCTGGTGCTGAGGAGGCACAGGATGTGGGACAGGGGCTCTGGACATCCTGGGGCTGAGGTTTTAACAGCTCCTCTCTTGTAGGTGAGAAAAACCTCCTGCCCGGTCTTTATTTACCCAGTGGGGAGACTGGGGGAGGGGACCTTACCCTGGGGACTGTTCAGGCAAGACCCCCTCACAGGCTTCAGCCCCAGAATGGCTGACACCTAGGGTCAGACCCTCTCAAGGTGGGGTCCCCTGTGCACCGGGGGTACAGCTGTATCCCTGTTTCCTGCCCACTGGGGCCAGCAAGACCAGTGAGATTTAAAAAGAGAATAGAAAATAGTGAAATGCGTAGGGACAGATGGGTGTTTCCGGGGCCGGGGGAGGGGACGCAGAGTGACTTGCTCCGTGGCTGCGGAATGTCCCTCGGTGACTTAAGCTCTGAAAGTCGCTGCCTGTGATTGTGAGGGTCAGGTCCCAGCCCCGTTCCTCCCCTGAGAAGGTCACAGTGGGAAGTGGGATGTGTGTGTGTTGCCACCGCAGCGAGGGCTCAGGCATCCCAGGTGTGCCCAGGGGCAGAACCCCCAGTGCTTACTGCACCTGTGAAAGTGGACTTTGAAGTAGGAGTGACTCCTACAGGTGTAGAGGTCGCAGCAGGAGAGGAGGTGGCACGGAAAGAGGAGGGTGCAGAGTGGGAGAGATGGGGTTCAGACTGGGGAGGCAGGGGCCACAGCACCACGACAGAGGGAGGGGCCATCCTCGGGTGTCACTGCGGGGGCTTCGCTTACCTCAGCCAGGAGGGAGGTGGGTGGTGGGGTGAGGTTGGAAGCACCCCTTCTTTTCCTGAACAGGTGAGAGCACAGTAACTGGGTGAATGTCTGCATTTACAGCCATCCCAAGCCCCAGTGTGGCATGAAGTGTGGCTGCTACCCATCCCCATGTGGTCTCCCTGTGCCTGCAGCTCTAGAGAAAGCTGAGTTTATACGTCGGGCCCAGTAGGACTGGCAACCATAAAGCAATCCTGAGGCATGCTGGGTGAGTGCAACGGCCTCAAACCGCCGTTGCACCATAGTGATATTGTGGTTGCCTGCAGGTAACTTGGACCCTGGGAATGAAGCCGAGGACCAGGGTGCTGTGATTATCTGAGGGCCACACTGGCCTTCATCTACGGGGGACAGGGTGGTTTATGGAACAGCTTGTGTTTCCATAGCTGGTTTTCTTTTTCTTTCTTTTATTTTTTTGTGGGGGGACCAGGTATTGAACTCAGGGGCACCTGACCACTGAGCCCCATCCCCAGCCCTATTTTGTATTTGATTTAGAGACAGGGTCTCACTGAGTTGCTTAGCACCTTGCTGTTGCTGAGGCTGGCTTTGAACTTGAGATCCTCCTGCCTCAGCCTCCTGGGGTGCAGGGATTACAGGCGTGTGCACCTTATGCCCGGCCATAATTGGTTTTCCCTATGGAAGAAAATGAAACAACTTCTAAACATGAACTCACGATAAAATAGGCAGAGAGCACCCAGTTAAACAGGAGGGATGAAGATGCCGCTGGGTTGGAGAGAGGTTTTAAAGGATATGAGGGAACTCAGAAGCCTAAAGTGCTTGGTGGGGCCGGGGAGCTGCTCCTCCGTGGAGCCTCACATGGCACATGTGGGCCCTGGTTTCCAGCCCCGGCACCGGGAAAAAACGTGTTCACCAATGACTGCGCACAGAACGTGAGTTGGTATTCCTACCATCTACAAAAGATGCACGGAAGTTACCCGTGTCTGTCTGCCCGTCACGTAAGAGTCAAACAAGCCGTGAAAATCTTTACCTAGAAGACATTTGCCCAGGTTGGAGTTTCAAGGTCCCAGCAGACATGACTTGTCAGGAAACAGACACCTGTGTCCCTCTGTAAAGTCCTGTGATCGGTGCATCATGATCAGTGGGGTTCACGGCAGGTCATGTGACGACACACGCACACTGTGGTCAGTTTCATTTCCCTGTCCCCCTTTCCCTCTCATCCTACCCACTGTGCTATTTTATGAAAACCACTTCCCTCCTCGTTTCCAACTTCCACAGATGAGAGAGCACGATCGACCCTGACTTTCTGCTTCACATTTCACTCAGCATGATGTTCCCCAATTCCCGCCACGTACCAACAGGGATATGGTTTCACTCTCCTATGTAGCTGAGTGGAACCACTAATGCACACACACATGCACACACACGCACATGCATGCACATGCACACACGCACACGCACACACATGCACACACGCACACACATGCACATGCACACACGCACACGCACATGCACACATGCACACCCACGCACACCACATCTTCTTCATCCGCTCATCTGCTGAAGGACGCCTGGGCTGGTTCCATGACTTGGCTGTGTGACTTGTGTCACTACAGGATGTGGATTTGGGTAAGTACCCAGGAGTGCACGTGGGTCACCTGGAGTCCCACTCCCTATGCACACGACGTGCCACCTGGCCTCTGGTTCGTGTGGCTGGTTTGTGTGGGACCTCCCAGCAGTGGTGTGAGCAGGTGGGTGGTGGAGAGAGCAGGTGTCACGAGCAGGTGTGGCATCGTCCCGCTGGTGAGTCCAGTTGAACGAGGGAAGTGGACGAAGGGCTCTGAGGGCTCAGAGAGCAGCTCGGGGCTTCAGTCTTAGAGAAGCGGAAGGCCGGGCGTTGGGTGCCGCGAGCCCATCCCGGGCGGCTGGACTCAGAACCCCGAAGACCTGCAGTGCACCTGTGGCCACCATAGAGCCCAGGCAGCGGGAGGGCTGAGAGCCCGCGAGGTGTCCGCGAGGAGGAAGTGGTCAGAGGGCGGATCTGCTGATGGAGGGGGTGGTGACAGCGGAGGAGGCTGCTGCGCCTTCCAGGAAACCCTGCGGTGCTGGCCACAGGAAGGGCACCAAGGAAGCAAGTGCAGGGCCAAGACCCAGGCTGGGGTGGGCACGGGTGGGCACAGGGGTCAGCCAGGGCGGGCGACCCCGGGCAGGGTGGGGTGGGGCGAGGTGGGCCTTCTTCCCAGAGTGCCTCCTGGTCTGGAATCCCAGCCCCTCTCAGCCTGCGGTGGATCACCTGCTCATCTCAGTTGACGCCAGGATGGCCCAGCGGGAGGTGGAGGTTGGGGTGTCTGACCCCGGGAAGGCAGCTGTCCCAGGGCGGACTTTGGGTCTTGGTCCTTACCTCCTGCCTCTGTGGTGGACCTGTGGCGTGGAACGGGAAGATTTCCTGTCCTGGTCTCCCCTGCGGCATGGCTCAGGACCACCAAGACTCAGAGGCAACCTGTGGCCCGTCAGCGGGCCAGTGAAGAGAGAGCGGCGGCGTGTCCCTGCAAGGGGTGCAATCAGCTAAGGCGGAGCGTTCGCCGCAGCACTGCTGGGCTGGAGATGACGGCCGGGTGGACAAGCCACTCGAGGACCCTGCAGCTGTCCGCCTTCACCCAGGAACAGGCTTGTGTCAGATTCACCCACGGGGTCCCTGAGCTCCAGACCCCCCATCCCAGGTCCCCACCACCCCAAGAACTTTCAAAACTAGGAGAAGAATAAGGGAGGAATGTTCTATGAGCCTGTGACAGGCAGTGCGCACGTTCCTGTGCACAGAGGCTGCGTGATCTCGCACGGGGGATCCGAGCAGCCAAGCTCACAGAGCAGAGTGGGGTGGTGGCAGGGGACTGGGGCTGGGTGGGTCACGGGCACAACTTCAGTTGTAAGAGGAACAAGTCCTGGGACCGCAAGTATAGCCTGGCGGCTGATGAGCAGCACCACGCAGTTCCCTTGGACCGTGCAGAGCCGATTCCTGGTGTGCCCTCCTCTCCCAGTCCGACGGTCACCTGTGAGGTGCCGGCATGCTGATTGGTGGTATCACTAGAGTGTGTGTGTGTATCCAGTCACCTCATCGCACACCTTGAGAAGGTACAGTTGCTTTCCCGTCCTGGGGGTCCAGTCCAGGGCCTTCATGTGCCCGGCGAGTGCCCTCCACTGAGCCGCCCAGCCTGACACAATTTGCACTTGTCCATCATTCTCCACTCAGCTGGGGTGAAGCTCAAGGGCAGTGTGTGAAGAGGGGCCGCTAGCTGTGCTCTCTGCCGGCAGGTCCCCTTCTGCGCCTGTCAGGGTTCCTCACGACATCCACACCAATGGGCAGCAGGAGGGGAGGTCAGGTCCCCTTTGTCTGCCCAGAGGTCCACTCTGTTAGCTCCAGGGACCCTGCCACCTCCTCAGCCGTCCCTCCAAACAATAAAATATGGTTTCTGTGCCTAAACAGTGTCAAAGGTAACACTTCTCTGTGCGGTCCCCAACTTCTCCTGGAATAACGCAGGAGCCTCCTAACAGTCTCAGCGAATTTGTCCTCCTCTTCCAAGTGTCCCACGTCACCTGAGGGATCACCCCCCCCATGCCTACATGCAAACATGTGTGACCCTATCTGTCCCTAGAGCCCCTGGTGGCCCCTGTCTGCCCTCAGGAGGAGGCCTAGGCCTTGCCGAGGTCTCGCTGCCCTGGGTGATCTGCTCTCCACGCATGGTCACACTCCTCCTGCCCGTGGTAACCTCCTGGTGGTGGCTGCGTGAGTCCCCTCTCATCTCCACAGGATCACGAGCACACTGTTCTTTCATGTGCCCACAGAACTAGCTCCGGATACGTTCCTTCCTCACTCTTCCGCTCGTTTTGAAAGTTCACGGGTGGCGGGACCTGGGATGGGGGGCTCTGGAGCTCAGGAACCCGCCGGCTTCAGAGGTGAATGTGACACAAGCCCGTTCCTGGGTGAAGGCAGAGAGCTTTGGGGTCCTTAATTCCCTGAAAGAGCTGTGTCTCTCACCCCCGTTCTGTGACTTTTCAGGATGCTGTGACCTGGGGGCAGCCCCCAGCCCATGACTTGGGCACCCAGCCTGGTGTCCGGCCAGCAGGAGTGGGGCAGCTACTCTTCCTCACAGGGCCAGGGCTGGGGAGGGCCGGTGGGTCAAGGCCAGGCAGGTTCAGGGTCAGGTCCTCTGACGGCTGAGTTGTGGCCCCTCCCCACCCCAATGTGGCCCCCCAGGTTACTTGGAAAAGTGATTAAGGTTAATGAGGCTGCTGAAGAGGCCTGCTGCTATGTATGTCCTCATGTCCTCAAGAGATCAGGACAAGGGACGAACTTGTGAGGCCACAGGGAGCCCCAGAGGGGCCTTGGGAGGAGCCAGCCCTGCCTGACCTTGACTTTGGACTTTGGTCCTCGGAGCTGAGAGCTAAGGTGTTGCTGACCGGCCACCTCCCTGCCGTGACAACCCTAACAGACTAACGCGCATCGTCATTTACAGTTCTGAGATTTTGTTCATCATGGACATTGTCGGCATTCATTTTGAATTTTAATTTAATTTTATTGAATATTATCTAGCTTGGCAACAGAGGTTTTTGGTGCTCTTCCTCCTCACCCTTCATTTTCTGCTGGGATATAGAATATGTTCAGGATTTCAAAATGCGTCACGCAACTGTGGCAATTGGGCTCACCCTGTGAGGTTTGGGGAGAGATTTTGGTGGGACTGGAGGGGACACAGGCCTTGGTGGTCAGGGCCCACATGTAAGCCTCGGGACATAAAACTTGTACCTTATTTTCCCAAGAGTCTCTCCCTGCCGTAAATTAGGATATGAAACATCCGAGTCTCACAAACTCACTCCAACAAGTCCCTCTCAGCTCGGGATGAAGTTGGTGTGGGGAGACTGCAGTTTGATAAGAATTTAGAAATTCTTGGACCTTAGGACACCTGGTCAACAGGGATGGAGGAGCGGAGGTTCAGAATGGGGACCTAGGAGTGAAGAGAGCGGGTCCCAGCCCCATCTCCATGGTACAGAGAATAGCATCGTGGCCACCGGGGGTAATGTGACGCCGGAGCTCCGGCTGGGCTGTCTGTCAGCCCGGACTTGACATCTCCTGATATTCCACAGAAAACTCAGATTTAAAAATTCCCTGGGTCCTCTCGAGGTGCCTGAACATCTGCCTGCGGAGAGCTCCGGGTGGTCTAGGGGGGCGTCCAGCGTCTCCGCCCCACTGCCTGCCTCCCCTGGGATGCCTTGCCAAACCCTGTGCAGTCACCTCCTTGGTGCCCAATTCCCGCCATGACCTGTCCTCTAGGGGTCAGGCAGAGCTCACATGGCTTGAGGCCGAGGAGCCAGCTTCAGTGCCACCTGTGGGCAGTGTCCCTCGGCCCCTCTTCCAGGAGCTCTGCGTTCTCGGCCTCCGGCCTTCCCAGCTGCAGCCCTCCTCCTGCCCAGCCAGTCTTCAGCCAGGAGCCACGCCAGAGCCACCAGCACCAGGAACGCCAGGCCCATCCGGAGGAGGTTCTGGGCTGTGTGGTCCCAGCGGGTGGGGTCTGGGGGAGAAGAGCAGCGGCTGCTGGAGCAGTGCAGGCCCCTCCCTTCCTCCCTCCTCCTCCTCCTCCTCCTCCTCCTCCAGGGCGTGGCCGTGCCCCTCCCTCCTCCTCCTCCTCCTCCAGGGCGTGGCCGTGCCCCTCCCTCCTCCTCCTCCTCCAGGGCGTGGCCGTGCCCCTCCCTCCTCCTCCTCCTCCAGGGCGTGGCCGTGCCCCTCCCTCCTCCTCCTCCTCCTCCAGGGCGTGGCCGTGCCCCTTCCCCCTCCTCCTCCTCCTCCTCCTCCTCCTCCTCCTCCTCCTCCTCCTCCAGGGCGTGGCCGTGCCCCTCCCTCCTCCTCCTCCAGGGCGTGGCCGTGCCCCTCCCTCCTCCTCCTCCTCCAGGGCGTGGCCGTGCCCCTCCCTCCTCCTCCTCCTCCAGGGCGTGGCCGTGCCCCTCCCTCCTCCTCCTCCAGGGCGTGGCTGTGCCCCTCCCTCCTCCTCCTCCTCCTCCAGGGCGTGGCCGTGCCCCTCCCTCCTCCTCCTCCAGGGCGTGGCTGTGCCCCTCCCCCCTCCTCCTCCTCCTCCAGGGCGTGGCCGTGCCCCTCCCTCCTCCTCCTTCTCCTCCTCCAGGGCGTGGCCGTGCCCCTCCCTCCTCCTCCTCCAGGGCGTGGCTGTGCCCCTCCCCCCTCCTCCTCCTCCTCCAGGGCGTGGCCGTGCCCCTCCCTCCTCCTCCTCCTCCTCCAGGGCGTGGCCGTGCCCCTCCCTCCTCCTCCTCCTCCTCCTCCAGGGCGTGGCCGTGCCCCTCCCTCCTCCTTCTCCAGGGTGTGGCTGTGCCCCTCCCCCTCCAGGGCATGGCCGTGTCCCTCCCTCCTCCTCCTCCAGGGCGTGGCTGTGCCCCCCCCCCCCCTTTGATCACCTTTCTGGGACCCCGACTCTGTGGTCACCAGGTAGGGGTCACAGGAATCTGTAGGTGACAGGCAAGGGGAGGCGTGAGGTTGGTGGCTGTGCAGGTCCTTTGCTTCCCAGGCCCCTCCCTGCTGGAGACCCAGTGGCTTCATCTGGCAGGTGGAGCGGAGGAGGACGGACACCCCTGGACGAGTTCAGCCGTCCTCTGCCAGGAGCTCCTCCGGGGTGCCTGGCCTCCTGGTGAAGGCAACGTCACCTCGCCGCACACAGGCAGGTGCCAACCCACCCTTTCTGCCCCTGGTGAGTGAGCTGCCCGTCCCTGTCCCCCGCGCCTCCTTAGGTCCTTCCCAATCCTGACCCCATTGCACTTCCTCCATCACCCTGGCCACCTTCCAGCCCGGAGCTGCGGCCATCCCCTCTCCCTCCACAGAGCTCGCGACCCTCTCCGTCCACTCTTTGGGCATTTCCTCAAAGGCCTCCCTCTGTGGGGCCCCCTGGGCTGTCCTACTCCATCTCGCCACGCCCCCCCCCCCCCAGTGGCTTTTAACTCGGCCTCTGCACACCCTCTTCTCCTCCAGGGGTTATAAGGAATTCCTGATCCATCCTGACTCCCTTCAAAGGATCCCTGGGCCAGGGCCACCCAGGCAAGGCTGTTTGTCCCGGGCTCAGTGGACACCTCGACATGTGCCAGGTGCAGAAGCCTTCCGCCTCCCCTTTGCTCAGAAGTGCCGCCACATACCCGGGGAATCCGCCGGGTCTGTGGGTGCAAGACTGCTGTTCCCCGCACCTCCTGGAGAGGGAAGGTGAAAGGTTAGGGGTCTTCCCCTCTGCAGTCCCGGTCATTGACCAGCTGGGTCGCTGAGATATGGAGGTCCCGTGCACATGGCTCCGTCTCTACCTGCGGTTCCCTAGGCTCCAGAAGAGAGGGGAGGTTGGGTGTCCTCACCTGTCACCAGGAGCATCACCGGATTGCTGGGGAAGGACCACGCGTGGTTGTTGTAGGAGCCAAAGCATCTGTAGGTCCCCTGGTGGGCCACGGTCACCGGGCCCACAGGGAACTCTGCCTGTGTGCTCCCGAGGCTACGCTGTGTGCTGCTGGACCTCCCTTCTTTGAGCAGAAAGAAAGTGCTGGTTGCTGTCGCTAGGTGGCAAAAGAAGGTCACGCTGTCCCCCAGGGCCACCTCAGGTCCGGGATGAACAGAGAGGGTGGGTGTGTCATACATTCCTGGGAGAAAAGGTGGCTGGTGGGAGGACAGCACGCTGACCCTGCTCCCCCACCTCCTGTCTCAAAGTCCTCAAGGCCACAGGCCACTCTCGGGAATCTGTCCCCCTTCCCCTGTCCCAGATCTGCCCTGGTCACAGCCATGTCCTACCAAGCACTCCTTCAAGACCGAGGCTCTCAGTGCCCGGCTTCCAGGACTGAGTAGGAATGTCTCTGGGAGTGGCCCTCGGCCTGTGCTCCTCAGGGCTGAGGGTAGGATCGGCAGCATGATGCCATACCACAGTCCCCTCCAGAGCCACCACCGCAGACACCCAGGGACGGGACACTCTGTGGTGTTTTTAAAACATATTACTTTCCCACTGTGGCCAGACGCGCACAGTGTGACCTTTCCACCTGAGCCACCTCCGTGGACAGTTAGAGCCACTGGTTGCTCACCGCCCAGGCAGTGCTCACCGCCCAGGCAGTGCTCACCGCCACCACCTGTCACCACCAGGTCCTGCTAGGAGTGGGTCAGTCACCTGTCACCACCAGGTCCTGCTAGGAGTGGGTCAGTCACCTGTCACCACCAGGTCCTGCTAGGAGTGGGTGGGTCACCTGTCACCACCAGGTCCTGCTAGGAGTGGGTGGGTCACCTGTCACCACCAGGTCCTGCTAGGAGTGGGTGGGTCACCTGTCACCACCAGGTCCTACTAGGAGTGGGTGGGTCACCTGTCACCACCAGGTCCTGCTAGGAGTGGGTGGGTTACCTGTCACCACCAGGTCCAGGGAGCTGCTGGGCTCGGACCAGAGCTCCCCTCTGCGGTAGAAGCAGTGGTATTGCCCTGCTGTGCTGGAGGCCATGGTGGGGATGAGGAACTTGACTTTGTCCACGAGTCCAGGTGGTCTTGGTCTCTTCAGGGCAGCAACCCCTCCCTCAAAATGCAGCCGGTACTCCTCAGCCTCCCGGGTGCCCCAGCACCACAGGGTCACCGACTGTCCCTTTGGAACCATGAAGCTGGGCCTGGCTTGGATGACGGGTCTCGGGAGGCCCTCTGGAAGGGAAGCGAGGCTGTGGTGCAGGGGAGCCTCCGGCCTGCCCCCCGCTCCCGCCCACCTGCTGGCCCAAGCCCTCCCAGCACCGCGGAGCCTGCCTCCCCCGTGTTCTAGGTGGACGGCTGAACCCTGGGCGACTCTGGGCCTTAGGGGAGGACTCACCACTCTGGATGCTGGTCCTCAGGCTCAGGTGCAGCCCTGGAACGCAGGCAGTATGAGGACAGTGCCCACCACACCTGGCCCGGGGCCCTTCCACCAGAGACTCACCGAGGCACAGCAGGGCCACCGGTGTGGGTGGCATGGCACGATGCTGCAGGCCGATGCGGGGCAGCCAGACGGGGACTGGGCAGCCGGATGGGGACTGAGCCGGCAGTCCAGGGACAGGCACAGGATGTGGTAGGTGTGGCCGGCGCCCGTGCCCCGGGACTTCCACACCAAGGTTTGACCAGATGTTCACAGCTCTTCCTCCCCCTCTGGGCCTGGGCCTGGTTTTCTTTTTCTCTATTTTCTTCCCCACAGTGTCTAGACAATTTTGAAAGTGAGGTGTTCTGCCCTTGGGTTCCACCCCACGTGTCCTGGGAGACGCCCCTTTCTCCAGCCTGTGCCCTTTGTCTAATTTACCACCCTCTTCCTTACAGGGGAATGCTCACGGGGCGCTCCACTCCAGCAGCTCCGGTCAGTGCACGTGGTCATGGACCACGGTCCGGTCAAACGCAGAACGGCTCCAACCCAGACCATGGGAAAGTCCGTGCAGCGGTTTTGGGTGAGTGACAGGCACATGAGGGTGCTGCCTAGACGTAGCCACCTCTGGGGTGTCGGGGATGGGTCAGGGAGTTTCACACCCCGCCCAAGCTCAGGGTGGCCTGGGTGCTCTCTGTGGGCAGAGGGAGGGAGCTTCCCCAGACCCAGACGTGGTGCTGCTGGGTCCCCAGGGGTTCCCGCGCTGGCCAGCCTGGGAGAAGGGAAGGCAGGTTCCCCTGTTCCCCTCCTGAGTGTCCCATGGCCTGTGGGGACAACAGCCTGTGTCTCTGCTGTTTAAGGAGCCTTTTGTCCCCACGAGGGCAACTCGAGACTGGCTCTGTCTTCTTTGGGCCAACGCTGTGTTAACTCACACCGTGAGCAGCGTGCAGCTGGGCGTGCAGGCCTGAGGTGCTGGGTCTCCTGCCACCATCGCCTTTGGGCCATGGCAATGACCAGCACAGGGGACAGGACCCTCCCCAGGTGGAAGAGGTGTCTGCTCTCGCCCACCAGGTCCTGAAGAGGTGGCGTGCTCAGCCTGGGTCACCCCCCTAGGGTTGGCTTCTGGAAGGTGGAGCAGGAAGCCAGGCAGGGCTCACATTCAAGGACCAGGCGGAGCCCATCTGTGGGTGTGAAGGGCCCTGAGGGACAGGAGCAGAGTGTGCGTCCAGGATATGGGATCTTATGCGACCTGGCAGGGCTTCTCTCCCTCTGCTCCAGTGACATCGGGGTGGATGGTCCCTGGGCTGCCCTGTGGTTGGGTGGCTAGCGGCACCTGGGCTCCGCCCTGCTGCCTGGCTCCCCATGCACCCGGCTCTGTGTGTGGTGAGGGTCCCGTCCTCCCTGATTCCCAGCGCGGCCAGGGCCTCTGCGGCTGTGGCTGAACCTATGGGGTCTGGGGTCCTACACTGCTTACGAGTGGCCTTCCTCTTCTCGTGTCTTGGTTTTGTTATTGTCACATGACACACAACCGTGGGACTCGCTGTGCTCTTCACACACGTAACTGAACTGACTGCGTCTCATGCCCCGGATCTCGCCTGCCCCCTGGTCCCCTGCCCCGGCTCCCCTGCCCTTCCTCTACTGGTCTCCCTTCTGTTTTCCTGAGGCCCCCTTCCCGCGTTTTTCTCTCCAGCTCCCACACACGAGAGAAAACCCAGGACCCTCGACCTTCTTTCTGAGCCTGGCTCAGTTCACTTAGCGTACGTTTCTGGTGGGTTTTGGGGTCTTCTAGACACAGGATCCTGTCGTCAGCCAGCAGGTAGTTTGGCCTCTTCCTTTTGTGTTTGGGTCCCTTTGAGTCCCTCCTCGGGCCCTCGGGCTGGCCTTTCAAGGCCTGGGTTGGGTTGGAGTGGTGGAGTGGGCGCCCCGTGGATCCCTGATTCAGGGAGAAGCTTCCGTTTTTCCCTGTTCACAGGTGGGTTTTGCACCAGCCCTGCTAGCTCCAGGGTCCCCTCTCGTGAAGGAAGCCCTTCCCGAGGCGCAGCCCCCTTCCGAGCTTCTCCTCCACAGCAGCGGCTCCTGTTTAAGGTGCTGAAACCACGTCCCCAGGCCCTTAGAGATGACAGGTGGCCGCCCACTGACAGGCACCTGTGTTATCAGTTTCATCAGAAAGGTTTCACGCTCAGCTTTCAGTTCTAGGGTGATTTTTGTCCCTTGAGAGCAGACAGTTATTCACTCTAACTCTGCGTCCCATCCGGGCACGGAGCGTCTGCCCAGGCCAGGGTCACGGTCAGCGAGCTTCAGCCGCTGTGGGAACCTCGTCAGGCCCCTGGAGCCTCTCAGAGGGCGGATGGAGATGCGAGGTCAGCACCCAGGCGTCCTCAGGGCAGTGTCCTCTCGGGTTCATTACTAGGATACCCCTACCGCCCTGGCCTCCTCGGGTCCTGCCTGGAGGTGTCTAGGATGGATCCTGTCGCCTCGGCCCCTGCTCCGCTTAGTTTGCAGACGTCCTTGGACCCCAAGGGTCCTCTGGTTACACAGACCCGTCCTTCCCGACGCCTGACCCTGATGTGTGATGGCCCCGGACGCGGTCTTCTCCCCATCTCCCCGTAGCTCACAGCAAACCCACCCGACGCTCGTCTTCCTGAAGGTCACTCTGATCTCCTTTCCACCTGAGCTCTGGTGTCACCTTGGGGACATGGCTCCCCAGGTGGCTGCTGTCCCTCCCTCTCCCTTCCTCCTATCAGCGATTTGGGGGTGTGGGGGTGGATTCCCCCAGTTCAGAGCCCCGACCCTCTATTCTGATCAAGACCCTGCCCAGGGCAGCTTCAGAGAGCGGCGCAGCCTGCTCCTCCCTGCCCTGACACACACAGGCGCAGAGCGCTTTACCAGATACGCTTATGTTCACTCTTTCTCCTTTTTTTTTAATGGAGATGATACAAAAAGCCTATTCCGTAGTCGGACGCAGGAGGAGGAAAGAACAACCACTGTTGCATTCCTCCACGCTCCTCATCTGGGACCCCCTCCGTCTGGCCAGGGGTGCCCAGGTTTGTCCTCACTGGTCCCCTCCCCTGGGGTCACAGCCTGGACCAGCTCTTGTCAGGCCGACTCTTCCGCCCTCCTCTGGAGCTCCCCAGTGCTGACCTGGTGCTGGAGGACCCTCGTGGTGGGCGGGGGTGGGGGAGCTGGCTCCAGCACCGGGCAGAGACCTGGGCAGAGCTGCCTCGGCAGCTTGTGCTCACCAGACCTGAAAGACGTCTCCTGTTGTCCAGCCCAGCTCTGAGCAGCTTCCAGTGGTGACCTTGAGTCCTCATGGTGACCCAGAGAGGTTGGCCACATTATTCTGCACTTCGCAAATAAGGGAACTGAGGCACTAAAAGGTGAGCCCATGCGGAGGTGTACCCGGCTACTGAGAGGCGTCTGGGGACCTCGGGATCCAGACAGTGCCTGCAGATGGGGCAGGAGGTGTACCCGGCTACTGAGAGGCGTCTGGGGACCTGGGATCCAGACGGTGCCTGCAGTTGGAGCAGGAGGTGTACCCAGCTACTGAGAGGCGTCTGGGGACCTCGGGATCCAGACGGTGCCTGCAGATGGGGCAGGAGGTGTACCCGGCTACTGAGAGGCGTCTGGGGACCTGGGATCCAGACGGTGCCTGCAGATGGAGCAGGAGGTGTACCCGGCTACTGAGAGGCGTCTGGGGACCTGGGATCCAGACGGTGCCTGCAGATGGGAAGCATCTTCCCAGGACGCCGGGTGCTGAGGTGGAATGAACCCTCCCCTCCCCTCTGAGCTCCTCTCTGGGTCTTTCTGGGTCTCTGTATCTACTTAGTTCAGCTCCAGTTCTACCTCAGAGCACACCTGTACCCTAGGGAGGTCCAGAAGCAGGCTGCAAGGGACGGATTTCACGTCCTGAGTGACCACTTCAATCACAACTGACACAGGAGGTGGCTTTGGTGATTTCATTTTTTTTTTCTGTTCATTTCTGCCATTTATTTTTTCTAGTGCATTATGACCACACACAGTAGTGGGCTTCATCGTGACAGGTTTGTACGTACAGCATGATTTGGTCCATTTCATTAACCATGTCCCCTGTCCTTTCTACCCTGCTGTTGTGGTTTAGATGTGAGGTGTCCCCCAGAAGTTCATGTGACAAAGTGGGAAGGTTTAGAGGGGAATAATTGGGTGTGGGAGCCTCGACCTAATCAGGGCATTAACCGACTGTGGGTGGGTGGGGAGTGGCTGGAGGAGGGGCCGCGGGGGCGGCTGGGGTTGACATTCTGTCCTTGATGACCAGAGCTCTGTCTCTGCTTGCTGACTGTCATGTCCTGAGCGATTTTCCTCCAGCAAAAAAGCCGACTAAAATAACTGCTCTCCCTTCTGTTTTAGTGAGCTCTCCTCTCTCCCTTTTTAAAACTTTCTCTGACTTCCACATATGAGAGAAAACGCAGGACCCTTGACCTTCTTTTGACTTAACACGATGGTCTCTAGTTCCATCCATTATCCTGCAGATTTCCACAGTTTTGTTCTTGATGGGTGAATATAGCTCCGTGTGTGTAGACGGCATCCTCTTTATCTGGACACCTAGGCTGGCTCCGAGTCTGGTGGCTGTGAGCTGTGAACACGGCGTGTGTGACTCGCTGTAGTTAGACGACGTCCCGTCCTCAGGGTAGATACCGAGCAGTGGTCCAGCTGTCGCATGGGGGCTCTGCGCCCCGTCCTTTGGGCGCCTCAGCTGATGTCCGTAGTGACTGCACTAATTTTCAGCCCCACCAACCGTGTGACAGGGTCCCTTTCCCTACCTTGGTCACTGGCATTTTATTTTGTTTAATTTTTCAGGACTCGGGATTGAACCCAGGGCTGCTCTGCCCTGAGCTGCATCCCCAGCCTTTTAGAAAATTTGATTTTGAGACAGGGTCTCACTAAGTCGTGCAAGCTGCCCTGGAACTTGGGATCCTCCTGCCTCAGCCTCCCAGTGGCTGGGATTACGGTGCCTGGCCTTGGTGTTTTTACAAATGTGACTTTAATGGGGAGGACATCCACCTGCATTGCACTCTGCCCGTCCACAGTGCGGAGCGTGATGGCTGCACCGTGTGTCCAGAGCCACAGAGCCGCAGCCACGTCTACGTTAGGGTGTTGCCGGCTGCAGTGGGTCCCCCATGTCAGAGCCCCAGGTAGCCACCGGTCTCCCTTTTTCTTGTAGACCACAATGAACTCTTAACAACTGTGAAATACGCAGAAATATACATAAGATTTGCCATATAATCACTTTTAAAATTTCAGTTAAGTTTATTTTAAACAGGTACACTCAGGACACGAAGTTGTGTGCATTCTGGGGTGACGTGTCCGTGTGCGAGGTCCAGATCAGGTTAGGGAACTGTCTCCTCATGCGCTTGCCAATTCTTTATGGTAGAAACATTCGAAGCCTGTTCTTCCAGTTTCTGAGGTTCCAAGCTGACACTGAGTGTGGCCCAGGGGGGCTCGGAGTCCTTACCTGCTATGAGGCGGATGCCCGGGACTTTTTCCTCTTGCCAACTGAAGCTCTGTACCCCAACAGGGAGTGGTTTAACATGCACTGAAGGCCGGGCGTGGTGAATGCTTGACTATGGGAGCTCAATCATTATCATCACTTTCCCGGTTTCTTTTGATGGACAGAAATGTTAAAACTTTAACATTGAGTGTGAATGTTACACATGGACCTGTGATCCCAGAGGCTCAGGAGGCCGAGGCAGGAGGATTGTGAGTTCAAGGCCAGCCTCAGAAACTGAGCAAGGCCCTGAACAACTTAGTGAGACCCCTGTTTCAAAATAAAAAATGAAAAGGGCTTGGAATGTGGCTCAATCCTTAATCCTTAAATTTTTGTGGCCAGAGCTCTTGTACCCTGGGCAATTTTCAAACACAAGATACATTGTTGTCAAGGGCAGCGAGATCCTGACGGCCAATAGTTCTCTGAAGCTTTTTCCTCCTGAGCCAGTGAAGTTGGTGTCCTGGATGGGCGCCCGGTGCCTGCACTAGATAGCCTCCCGGGTCGTGCACTGAGTGAGTTCACAGGGGAGCGGGAGCCACAAACTGTCTCTCAGTGCTTGGCTGGCCTGCCTGACGTCCTCCCCGGGCTCACCCATGCAGCAGGGAAGGACAGGATAGCCTCCCTGTTCATCGGCTCTGTCCCCGTGAGTGTACCCCTGTCCTGCAGACGCATCCCTGGACAGACCCCTGGACGATTCCCTGCCGGGCTGCCCAGGAGTACTGATGTCACAGCCTCTCTTTACCCTCTGTCTCCTCCCTGTTGCCTCTGTGCGGGGGATGGGAGCTGCCGCGGGCCGGGAGCGGGGTCCACACTCTGCTGCAGACAAGTCCCAGCACCCCCGTGAGCTCCGGAGAGACGCCATCCCTAAGGGGTGAGCTCGGGTCTCCAACAAGAAAGCAGGTGGTGTCCACGTCTGTGGAGCCACAGCAGTGGCCACGGGAGACACTGCATGGTGGACGATGGTCATCCAGATCTGGGCCTGTGTGACATTCGTGGCTGTGTTTGCGCAGGGAGCTGCCTTGTGATGGATGGTGCAGGTCGAGAGGCCCCAGTGGCCATAATGACGCCAGCCCTGGGGCCACGTGGGCAGGCTCAGGTCGAGAGGCCCCAGTGGCCGTGGTGACGCCAGCCCTGGGGCCATGTGGGCAGGCTCAGGTCGAGAGGCCCCAGTGGCTGTGGTGACGCCAGCCCTGGGGCCACGTGGAAGGTGCGTGGCTGTATCAGTTTCCACTGGGTCCGGCACCAGCTCCCAGGATAGAGTTCTGAGCACAGTGGGACGACCCTGCTGCCTCTCTGGCGCTGTGTCCTGCAGATCGTCACCATGGCTGAGACGCCCACAGTTCACCGTGGGATGAAGAACCTGCTCAATCGGCCTGCTTGGCCAGCGCCGGGTGGCCAGCCTGCCCAGGCCTGGGCGTGTGTCTGTTGGTCTTTTCTCCATCCCACGGGCCCCTTCTCTACTGCCTCCTTATTAGGACCGCGGCTGCCGAGAGCAGAGACAAGAGCCGTCCCACTGTGTGGTGGCCGACGGACCCAGAGTCCCACCACCCGAGCTTCAAGCAGGCCTGGCTGCAATGGGGGCGGAGTCCCCACCCGGGTCTTGTTGAGGTGACCCGGGGCCCAGCAGCCTCCCCCAGGAGTGGGGAGTCCTGGGGGCCCTGGGCCCAGCTGTCTCGATGGCTGGGACGGGGCTGAGACGCAGCCCCGGGGGCTGCAGAGGTGACAGCCTGCAGCGAGAGCCTGGGGAGGTCCCGGGGCAGGACCTGTAGGAGCTGAGGACATCCACGCCCGCGTGGGCCCTGGCCAAGGGCCAGCCGCCATCAGGAAGGAGCCGCGGGGCGCAGTCGGGCGGAGCTCGTGCTGGGGCAGGGAGCCTGACAGCGGCCCCTCAGCGAGTCTGCGAGTCTCTAAAACAGTCGGCTCCTTACCTGTCACCACCAGCTCCAGGGCTGGGCTCCCTCTGACCAGGGTACATTTCCTGTACTGGCACTGGTGGCGCCCGGCAGAGCTCACGTCCACTCGGGGAGGGGGACCTCGGCTCCCACCGGGCACGGGGCGTTCCCCAGCTGGTACGGGAAGGACCCCGTGTTCCCTGGCAGCCGGGCCTCACGCTCCCGTTCCTGGCCACCGCGGAAAGTCCCCTGCAGAACCCAGAGCCCTGTCAGAGCCAGCCGTGGACGCCGCCTCCTCCCTTCACTCTGGGGACGCAGGTGGATGGAAGGGGGAGGACCTGACAGCATTTCCTGTCTAAAATATTTTTTGGAGTATTTTTATACATAAAATATACATGAAATAAAAATTGCCACTTTAAACATTAATTCAAGGACATCAATGACATTCACCGCGCTGGGTGACCATCACACCATCTATTTATATAGCATTTCTTTTCTTTTTTTTATTGGCATTTAAAATTTTTTTAATTTGTTATATGTGGCCACAATTCAAATCACACGTATAGGGCTCGATTTTTCCTGTCTCTGGCTGTACACAAAGTAGAGTCACTCCGTTTGTGTCTTCACACATGTGCTCAGGGTAATGATGTCCATCTCATTCCACTGTCTTTCCTCCCCTATGTCCCCTCCCCCCTCCCCCTTTCCCCTTTGCTCTGTCTAGAGTTCATTTCACCCTCTCCCCTGCCTCCAGCATATTATGGATCAGCATCCTTAAATCAGAGAAGTCATTTAGCATTTGTTTTTTGGGGATTGGCTAATTTCACTTAGCATTATCTTCTCCAACTCCATCCATTTACCTGCAAATGCCATGATTTTGCTCTCTTTTATTGCTGAGTAATATTCCATTGTGTATAAATGCCACATTTTCTTTATCCATTCATCCACTGAGGGGCATCTAGGTTGGCTCCACAGTTTAGCTATTGTGAACTGTGCTGCTATAAACATCGATGTGGCTGTGTCCCTGTAGGGATAGCTGGGTCAAATGGAGGTTCCATTCCTAGATTTCCAAGGAGTCTCCATACTGCTTTCCATGTTGGCTGCACCAGCTTGCAGTCCCACCAGCAGTGTGTGATTGTGCCTTTTCCCCACATCCTCACCTACATTTATTGCTGTTTGTCTCCATAATAGCTGCCATTCTGACTGGAGTGAGATGGAATCTTAGAGAAGTTTTGATTTACATTTCTCTGATTGCTAGAGATGATGAGCATTTTTTTCATATGATTCCTTTATCTCAGGAGCATTGTCTATTTATAGCATTATTATTACCCCAAACAGAAACCCTGAATTTTTGTGTGTGAGGTCCTGGGGATTGAACCCAGGCCTTGCGTATACTAGGCAGGCACTACTACACCACTGAGCTACACCCCCAGCCCTTTTTAATTTTTATTTTAAGACAGGGTCTTGCTAAATTGTTGAGGTTGACCTGAAATTCGTGACCAGACTAACCCTGTAATCGTGAAGCCGTAACTCGCCACTCTTCCTCCCACAGTCTCAGATTACCTCTAATCTCTAAAAACTGACTCCGCTAGGTGCCTAATAAAGGCAGACTCATTCGTTGTTTGTCTTTTTGCTCGTTTCCTTAACAAGTCTCTCCAAGGTTTGTTGGTTTTGAAGCTCGGGTGGGAACTCCACTCCTTTTCACAGCTGAGTAGTATTCCGTTGTGTGTATAAACCATCATCTGTCGGCCGACACCTGGCTTATTTCCACCTCTGGGCTGCTGGGCGCGCTGCTGCTGTGACTG